TTTGAAACCACCTGGATTTTATCTCACTCTCAGCTTCCTCCTAGACTAGTGTTCACTTTAACTTTGGTGTCAGGGGATAAGGAAGACTTGATATTCCAGTAGGTCTGGTAGTTACTCTTTGGAACATAGAATAAAGGGCAAATCTTTATCATGACTTTCAGGACCATTAATCATGTGGCCTTCTGTAACCTTCCCAAGTGAATCCTCAACATGCCCCTTCCCATATCACCTACTGCAGTTGTATCTGCTTTACCATAAGGCTAATAGACCACAGTGACTTTTTTAAAGAACTAGGTGTGTTTGGGAATGAGAGAGCCTATTAGGGAGTAAAGAACAAACATATTTGTTGAATGTGATTGTTTGAGTCCAACTCTTTCACAATCTGCTTATTCAGTATTTAAAATACTGAATAGTGGTATTATTTAATACAAAAACTAATTTGTGCCATGAGCTGAGAACTCTTGTGTGTTTTTTATGACTTTGGGAGACCTTGGGACCAAGAAAGACTCAGGCTTTTCTAGAGTCATGAGGCAGATTTAGTCTTGGTCCTATTATATGGGAAATATAATTGGCTAAAGTAAACACATTTATTTTGCTGCTCTAAAGTATTATTAAGATGTATACTAACCCACAGGCATGCAATCATCATACAATTTTAAGCCATAAAATATTTACAATGCCATGTCTGAGATAGATGACATATAGTATATTACTCCACAGTTAGTTTAGTAAAGATAGAGAGACTCAGATTGATGCTTTCAAGTGATCGTGTCAGTGTAAACAAACCTTTCCTTAATAATAGTTGTATATTTGGAGGTTTTTTATTTTTCTTCTGAAAAGTGTTTTCTACATACCTTTTAGACAGCAGAGATAATTCTTGACTGTAACACTTTCTGACAGCTATTCAAACATATTCTGTCTTTTTGGCTGTATCTTTTTCTCTACATTCCTGCAGTTCTTTACAGAATATGACTGTCTCATAAAAGGATATTTGTAATAAGAACCTATTTGCTAAATGAATAAAATATTCTTTAAGGTGCATTTCAAAAAGTTCTGAGCAAGTCTACTGTTTTGATGTATCAACGAAAGCACTGCTATACATCAATAAATTCTTAGTTCCTGAGACATAACAAGTACTTAGTCGTAGGCATTGCTGAAATTGGAACATGTCAGGAGCCCTTCTCTTGTATGACTGAAACTGTGTTTACTTACTTTTATGTTTTGTTAATTTTATCTTTAAATGACATTGTCTTGGTTTTTTTATTATTCCATATTTTTTCTTTTTGTTTCTCTTTCCATAATCTCCATAGTTATCAAATTGTTTTTAGAGATTTTATAGATATTTGTTTACTGAAAATAAATTCATGGCAATGATTTATGAAACTTTCTAACTGTAATCCAGGTACAGTGCTAGGCACTAGAGATAAAATAATGAAGAGCCATAAAAGAAAAAAAAAAACTGTTTCTGCTACCATGCAGTTCACTATAATGTGGAAGGGACAACATTTAATGTAATTATCAAGCTATACCAATGGGCAATCATTGAACACCTTGATATAAAGAAAAGGTCAGCAAACTTAAAAAAAAAATACCGGATAGTAAATATTTTAGACTTTGTAGATGATGTTGTTTGGCTGTGTCCCCACCCAAATCTCATCTAGAATTGTAGTTCCCATTATTCCCTTGTGTTGTCGGAAGGACCTGGAGGGAGGTAATTGAATCATGGTGGTGTTTACCACCATGCTGCTCTTCTCATGATAATGAGTTCTTATAAGATTTGATGGTTTTATAAGGGCACTTCTTCTTGCTGCTGTCATGTCAAGAAAGACATGTTTGTTTTCCAAGGCCTCCCTAGACATGCTGAACTGTGAATCAATTAAACCTCTTTCCTTTATAAATTACCCAGACTCAGGTACGTCTTTATTAGCAGCATGAAAACAAGCTAATACAGTAAATTGGTACCAGTAGTGGGGTGTTGCTGTGAAGATACCTGAAAATGTGGAAGCAACTTTGGAACTGGATAACAGGCAGAGGTTGGAACAGTTTGCAGGGGTCAGAAGAAGATAGGAAAATGTGGGAACATTTGGAACTTCTTTTATTTATTATTTATTATTATACTTTAAGTTCTAGGGTACATGTGCATAACGTGCAGGTTTGTTACATATGTATACTTGTGCCATGTTGGTGTGCTGCACCCATCAACTCGTCAGCACCCATCAACTTGTCATTTACATCAGGTATAACTCCCAATGCAATCCCTCCCCCCTCCCCCCTCCTCATGATAGGCCCGGAAGGGGAACATCACACACTGGAACTTCTTATAGACTTAGAGAGGTCACAAGCCCAGAAGATGTGGAAAAGTTTGGAACTTCCGAGATAGTTGTTGAATGACTTTGACCAAAATGCTGATAGTGCAATTAGGTCCAGTCTAAGGTGGTCTCAGATGGAGATGAGGAACTTCTTGGAATCTGGAGTAAAGGTTACTGTTGCTATTCAAAGAGACTGGCAGTATTTTGGCCCTGCCCTAGAAATCTGTGGAACGTTGAATTTAAGATAAATTATTTAGGGTATCTGGGGGAAGAAATTTCTAAGCAGTGAAGCATTCAACAGGCAGCAAAACATAAAAGTTTGGAAAATTTTCAGCCTGATATGCAATAGAAAAGAAAAGCCCATTTTCTGGAGAGAAATTCAACTTAGCTGCAAAAGTCTGCATAAGTAGCAAGGAGCCAAATGTTAATCACCAAGACAATGGGGAAAATGTCACCTGGGCAAGTCAGAGTTCTTTAAAAGCAGCTCCTCCCATCACAGGCTCAGAGGCCTAGGAGGGAAAAATGGTTTTGCAGGCCCAGGCCCAGGGGCCCCCTTACCTTGGGACTTGGTGCCCTGCATCCCAGCCACTCCAACTGTGGCTAAAAGGGGCCAATGTACAGCTCAGGCCGTTGCTTCAGAGGGTGCCAGCCCCAAGCCTTGGCAGCTTCCATGTGATATTAAGCCTGCAAGTACACAGAAGTCAAGAATTGTCATTTGGGAACCTCCGCCTAGTTTTCAGAAGATGTATGGAAATGCCTGGATGTCAAGGCAGAAGTTTCCTACAGGGGTGGGGTGCTCATGGAGAAATTTTGCCAGGGCAGTGCAGAAAGGAAATGTGGAGTTGAGGGTCCCACACAGAGTCCCCATTTGGGCATTGCCTAGTGGAGCTGTGAGAAGAGGGCCACCATTCTCCAGACCCTAGAATGGGAGATCCACTGACGGCTTGCATCATGTGCCTGGAAAAGACACAGACACTCAACACCAGTCTATGAAAGCAGCAGGAGAGGGACTATACCCTGCAAAGCCACAGAGGCAGAGCTTCCCAAGGCCATGGGAACCCACCTTGGGCATCAGCATGACCTGGATGTGAGACATAGAGTCAAAGGAGATCATACATAAAGCAACCTTCTATATCATAGGATCCCACAGCACAAACTATGAATTCAGTGATCTAGCTACATATTGATGCCATTAAAAATTCTACAGAGGAAGGAAACAGAATGTTATTAGTTTACAAAAATAATGTTATAGACCTTGAATCAATAAATTGCATGCTCAGGCATTTGTAGGAGTGAGAATTACCCTGTCATAGTCACCTGAAATCAGAATTATACTTGGTAACTATACAGAGTGTGCAACTGGTAAGCCTAAGTGGCAATGGAACTGACCACCAGGGCATCATCTTCTGAGATACTAAAGATATCAACATATGAATTCGAATTACAGTATATGTAGTCTATATTTTACACAGTTTATTTCCTTTACAAAACTTTATATTAAGGATGTAGCATATGTATGTGTGTGTGTGTGTGTGTGTGTGTGTGTGTGTGTGTGTGAATGAAGCCTATTATACTAAAGGAGAAAGGAATTGCACTTAAACCCTGCAATCTAGTTGGTAAGGTTACTTCACATGGGGTTACAAATTAAAAATTTGGCACAGCTATTCATGTAGACCAGCATTAAACAGATGAGTAAATGGGTGATAAATGATGGTTTGCAGGTTTCTCACTGTTGGGGTCTGAATTACCAATAAGTAAGAAAGCAGGCTAGAAAAGTACATATGGTTATGGATTGCAATTGGAGACATCATAATAAACACACATGTAGCATAACATAAATACAGATGCATATAAAATGATTTACAGGTATCTGTATATATTGGTTAGTATACACAAATATAAATGCTTGTTCTTTGTGAGTTTTGTTTGCTGTTTGTATTTTATTTTATTTTATTTTTATTTTTTGCATGTCATTATTCATTTAGATGTTTCAGCTCTTGCACTAAGTTTTTACACTGACAAAACTATTTCTCCCACAGAACTATAACCACACATCCCCAGACAGTATAAATATATGGTTGAACTAACATTAATACACATCACCATTTTATCAATTACATAATAAAACAAATTATCAAGTATCCAAATATTAAGTTACACAGCTCAAAAGGCATATAAAATGTTAGATGTCTGCTCAATTCATTAGCAGAAACCCACTTCTTTTTTTGCAAGAGAGGCTGGGAAGGTAAAAAAAATTACACTTTCAAACAAAAATAAGTTGGCAAACACACTTCTGATAAGTATGGAAAAAATTACAATAATTTCAGGAAGTTTATGATTACAATAAGAAAGCATCTCTACCTTTTAAAAATGTTTTGCTAAATTAAAGAGCATATTCTACATGTTCTGCACAAGACAAAGGCAACATCTTGCTAAAAATAATTAATAGCCCCCTCCAATTCTTTTCTCGGGCCCTCCTTGTTAAGTTGCACCTCAAAGTGCAAACATTAAATTAATGTAAGGCTTTTTTGTCTGAAGACATTAAAGACATGTGCTTCTGTACAATGTAGATTTTCAAAATGGAGTTTTTTTAAATAATAGCACAAAGTGAGATTTACAGAAACACATTAAATAATCACTGTAAGACTTGGTAAAAAAAAAAATCAATGGTTAGGCAAACCTGATGTATACTGGTATGAGTGTGGGAGATGTAAACATCAAGTGAGCAAATAACCATGTAAGCCCTATTTTCAATGTTTGAAATGATTGAAGGAATAAACCACATAAGGTCTAGAGTGTTCATAGTTCCTGGGATTTTAGTTCTGTATGGTACTAAAAATATACAAGTATTGTGCTGGGTATTTTGGCACCTAATCTTCCTCAATTTCTTATGTATTGATAAGATTCTGGCATGGGAATAGAAACAAGTCATAACTCAATACTGCATGATTTTGGGAAAGGTCAACTGATACAAATGACAAGCACATTTTATATGCTGACAGCGAGAATCTTTTGCCAAGTATCCAAATAGGTTGACTGTAACCCAAATACAGAGGTTGCCAAATCTGTCTAGGTTGTGGCCTGGTAAAACTGCCTTTCAATACTCCTATGGAAGCTACACTAGACTTACTCACTAAGCCAACATGTTGGCTAATATGTATAACAAATTAGGCTCTATCTCAAGTTCCACTTCCAATAGCACTAGGCACCCCAATTTTATTGAATGCAACAGTTGTTTCTATGACCATTGGAATCTTTGAAACACAGCCGCATATTAGGACGATACTTCTCCAAATACAAAAGTTGCTTGCTGTTAAAAGCTCCATGCTGCTTTTGTTTTATGAATTGTACTGCATCTTCATATTTCATTCCACCTTCAATTAATGCTAGGGCAACAAGTCCTGGAGCTCTCTCAAGGCCTGCCACACAGTGAACAGCAATACAACAACCAGGTTCTTCACGAAACTTAATTTTTACAAGGCTTAACCAGTCATCAACAATCTGGTTGGATGGTGGTGCACCATCATCAAAAGGCCAATCAAGAACATGGATACCTTCTTTCTCCACAAGAGTGATGTCATAAGTTGCTTCACATACTCTTACTATTGTGGTAACTCCATACTTCTTAAGTTCCTCTATAAATTTGTTTAAGGTCACATTGGTTGGATTGTGTGTAATAAGAAATCTTATGTTCTTGTATGTGACTTCCACAGGAGCTGGGCGGTTCATTCCAGCCATGTTAATTTAGTTAAAAAACACTCAATAGGGTTATGAAATAATTTTTTAAAAATTGGAATACAGAAATGATGCAAAGAAACTGAAGTCTACTTCAGTATACTCCACTGAAATTCTCAGTGCTTGAGTATGAAGTTGTAAGTAATGATAAATGAAATGAACCTCCTAACAAGCAGCAGCAATTCTTTAATCCAGTAATACTGAGGCCACCAGAAAAGAAGTGCACTGAGGTTTACCCCATCCAGGTCAGAACTCTTGTAAAATGCTCTGTGGATTTCAATTCAACACTTCTGTGTCCAGGATAACCAGTCTTATGTGGGCTTCTTGATGGAGTATTAATCAGTTTCTACAGTTCACTTGTCTGCATAGAGGTCGTGCTGTGCCTGGCAGTAATCTCCACTGCCCTTCAGAAACTCCATAAATGTGTGACCAAGAACACCACAGCATTGAGCAATATGTTTACTCATTGAAGATTGTGGCCTAATCATACAACCAGTCCCGAGGCGGCGTCAACACAGGCGGTGGTGGCGGCTGCAGGGCAGGAGGCAGCGGTGGTCATGGCGGAGCGGCGGTGGCGGCGTTGCAGGAGGCGGCAGGGGCACCAGACCTGTATTTTATTTTATTTTTTTATAAGAATGCAGGTAATTCCTTCTTCCTGCCTATCTTTCAGAGCACCTGTGACATTTACTAATTTAGAAAAAAATGCAGAACCTATTTAACACTGTGATGAGACGAGTTATATAATGCATGAAAATAATGTTTTATTTTCAGGCTGTTCATAAAGTGGTTTTACCTTTTACAACTTCCTTGTAAATTGATTAAAGGATCTTAGTCAAATATTTATAAATAGGAGAACTTAAGCGCTCTTCTTAAGCCACTGTAGTTTGGAATTTAAGCAGAGATACAATGATTGGTTTCAGGCCTATTCCAGAATTTGTTGATGCGTGGCAATATTTTAAAGGACAGTACCATCATTCCCTGGGTAGCGTGTGAAAAGAACCAGCATCTTTGCTCTTCCTCTAGTTTTCTCTCGTTTCTTTATAAAAACAATCTAAAATAGAAGATATTTTATCAAATGGTATCACAAGGTGCAGCATTTTGTGAGCCAATAAGTCACTGTTCTAATTTGTGAGACATATATTTGTACTAAAGTCATGTAACCATCAAGGAAGGGAAAAACCTAAAAATGAGAAGGAAGAAAACTGAGGGTAGTATTTACCTGAATGAATACAGAAGCATTAAAGGAAGAGAGACTATGCTGTACTCTAAAATAATGTCTCCAAAAAATGGAAAACTTTCGAAGGAGAATATGGATATTTTTCCTTTAGCATAAACTAGCATAGCATTCTTAATTAGTTTGAAGAATTATTTCCTCAAATAAATTGCTATTCAAATTCAAAATAGCTGCAATACATGCTCCTATTATAAGTTAAGAGAAATAGTGTAAAATAATCAGGTATCAGACTGGTTTCCAACCCGATTTCACCACTAACCAGCTGGAACCTCATCGATCATAGAGTGTGATAATTGTTGTCTTAGATCATCTTTTGAGCATGTTGTGTGTATATGTGCCCAAAGGATCCAACATTGTTTTTGAGGTCTTCCTTTGTAGGGTTTCCCACAGGCCAGAACACGGAGCCCGAGTTAAAAGCCAGGTAGAGGTGTCCAGTCATTGGGAATGAGATGGCAGAGTAAAGCCCCTTCCCAACTCGGATACATCGACCCTCCAGGAGTCCGGGGTCGACCGCCCCCGCGGGCAGGGTGCGCCGACTCAGCGGGGGGGACCCGCGGCTGAGGGGGCGCAGAGTAGGCAGCGGGAAGAGGCGGAGGCAGCCCCTGGGAGGCCGAGGGGAGGTCGCCGGCTGCGCCTCCAGTGCCCGGAGCCCCGGCAGCGCCCGCCCCTCTTCCCGCGTCGCCCACCAGCGCCCGCGCCCGCTCAGCCAGTGACTTCAGCTCAGCTCCACCTCTGCGCGGTGGCGGCTGGCTCCGTCCAGACCCGCGCTTGGCACAAACCCAGCCCGGGCGAGCGGCCGCCGCCTGCCTGGAGCCACCTCCGCCTGCCCCCACCACGGCCCAGCTTGGATGGAGCTGGGGTCCTGAGCGCCAGCCCCCGACACCCTGCAGCGCAGAGCCGTGCGCGGCTACCTTGGGTCTGGGACCCCTCTCTCCGCTGCTCTCCGCCCCCACGATGGGAAAAGTGGGCGCCGGCGGCGCCTTCCCAACCCAGCTGAGCCCTAAGTTCTGTATTCTAGCGGGAGATGTGGGCGCAGCCACCGCGACCAGGTGCAGGAGCGGAGGCCACTTCGCACAGAATCAGCCACTGTCCAATGGTCTGGCCCGCACAGCAGGAGTTGTGAGGTTCCCATGTGACTGGGGATAAGGGGAACGTTCCAAAGCCTGTTGATTGGTCTGTTGCAATGTGGGGGCGGGTGGGGCTTCAGGACTGGGAAGCGCTGAGCGCCTTCCGTCACCTGCTGAGGGATCTGGCTTCACCATTTCATGCTACACACCAGACCACTGAATAGTTTTCTCCAAATCTCTATTTCCCAACTCCTTGACCACCATGTGTGAAGCTGAAGATCACACCAAAAGGGGAAGGGGTTAAAATATAGTATCTGGGGTTCAACGATTAAAAAGTTTACATTTACAGGTAATCTGCAATACATGCCCTTAGTGTACTCCTTGTGGAGTTTTTCGTTTGTTTTCCTTCTTCTTCTTCTTCTTTTTTTTTTTTTTTAAAGAACTTGTCTGTGTATTTCCGGACAGGGCACTCCAGCACTCCAGCATCTTCTAAAAGACCCAGTGTAGGAAGTGATGTGTATGTGTATGTGTGTGTGTGTGCGTGTGTACTGTGAGCAGTCCTAGGTAGGTCAGATATCCCAGTACAACTACACCTTCCATCCACGCCCCCATCATGCCCCTATTGCAAGAAGAAAAATAAACTCTTAGCCTTTCCTTTATGGAGGGAGGGAAGAAATTACTGGATTACAGGAGGCCGATACTGGAGTTTGAGGCTGGGATTCTGCTGAGAACAAAGCAGATAGTTAAAAGTGAACGCTGATAATTTGGGCTCTTACCAGGAAAGTTTTCGGGTTTCTAGAAAATTCTGTATGTCTGGAATTTGAGGGAGGTGTTTTGTTTGTTTGTTTTGTGTGTGTGTGTGTGTTTTAGTTTAAGCTAAACTTAGAAATCAACTTGCCCTCAAAATAAGGCAACAGTTTCAATGGCAGTAGCTCAAGACCATTTATTTTCAAATGTGAAAAGGTCTCCAGATTGTCATAAAGCAGGCAAGAAACCACAAAAAGTAAGGGTGGATAAAAATAAAATGAAATAAAAGTTGGAAACTCAGTTAAGAAACTGAGGATTTTATTGTTTGTCGTATGCGATGGTTATCCAGCCTAGTAGTTTTCACGATGTTTGTATATGACGTTTAATTTCCAGAAACTTTCCAGGAGAGATACACATTATCATGTTGTACTTGTTTCTAGATCTTTAATAATAGCAGTCATGGACATTCAAAATTAATAGTTTGCATTTTATGAATATTCTTGGTACACAGATACAGATTTCATTATGCCAAATCATGATAAGGCATTTAGTATTGAAGTTTATTTCATAAGAATGTGCCCAGGATTTCCCCTAATATTCAGCCTTCATTACATGGGCTCTGATTTTATAGCGGCTAACTCCAGAGTAATAAAATAAATGAAGTAAAAATTATTTTCCTTTGGACACTGAAGACTTTGCCCTCACTTCCTACCTTACTTAGTTGAGTTTTCAGATTGTAGCCACCATAATTAATCCTGGAATTTGAATTTAAATCTTATTGAACTGATTGAATAACTTTCTACTTTAAATAACTTAATGTTTCTGACTTTAAAGGAGGGTTTTCAAAAGAAGCATGTAGTTACCAGACTATGAAGCAAATAACTTATGAATGATATTGTTTATGCTGTAAAATATGAATTGTGCATTAAACCTCTTTCATCTAGTTTACTTCTTGAAAGAGTGAGAAGAGTATATCTTTGTCTAAGTAACACCAATTAAGAACTGTCTAAAATAACTTCTACCCTCCTTGCCTATCCATGGTTGCTTATAAGTGTAATGGAGCTTATGGGGTTACACCTTAGAGACTGGCTGGCACAGAATTCTAGAATAATGCAGTAAATATTGAGGTGGTGATTGCTAAACATTTGAGTACCCTAACGTATTTCACTCTACATTGTACCCAACATAGACACAAACAAGTTACTTTTTCAGTATTTACATATAGATTGAGGGTGGAGAAAAATAGTTATTGCCCAAGTCTTCAAAAACAAAGGTATTCAATTTCCCCAGCCCTCTTTTTCTGGTCTGGTTTCATAGGAAATTACGTATCACATATACATTATGTGTGTGTATTTTATTTTAATGAGTGAGTGTTTATAAAACTTCTTTGATGAAGGTTAACAGACGTTTCTCATTGGCAATGATTTATGAGAAATGGTTATCAAAAGGAGCCATCTCCAATTTTTTTTCTTTGACTCGTCTTAATGTTATTATATTTTTAGTGCTATCTATATGAAAAAGCACAGCTCTTGGATCATTTTCCATGAAGCTTCTTTTTTTGAGTTGACATCCATCAGCTCACTGTTCCTGTTAAACTAGAGGTTCAACCTGGGCCAGCTTTAAGAATTTGTTTTAATCTTTTAAAGCAAATAGCTGAAAAATGAAATTATCTCATTTCAGCTATTTTATGGAGTAGGCATTATAATTCTCATTATATGGAAAAGAGAGCCGACGTTTAGAAAACCTGTGATGTGGCCAAGGAAATTGACTTGGTCTGTTCAGGCTGCTAGAACAACATACTCTCAACTGAGTAACTTATAAACAACAGAACTTTATTTCTGCTAGTTCTGGATGTGGGAAAGTCCAAGATCAAGGCACTGGCAGATTCTGTCTCTGGTGAGGGCCCATTTCCTGGTTTGTAGACAGCCATCTTTCTTCTGTGTCCTCACATCGTAGAAAGGGGTATAACAGCTCTCTGGGGCTTGTTTTCT